TCCCATGGAAATCATCGGTATAGACACGTGTGGTCCATTTCCCGTCTCAGACAAAGGAAACAAATATGTATGCACGATTGTTGATCACTTCAGCGGATGGCCAGAAGCATGGGCTATTCCGGACAAATCAGCAAATACCATTGCAAAATTACTTTTGGAAGAATTTATTCCGAGGCATGGCTGCCCGCGAACCATCATTAGCGATCAAGGTACGGAATATTGCAATGCACTCCTGGACCTAGTCAATCGCGAATTAGGAATTGCACGGGTCAGAACGTCCAGCTATCATCCCCAGTCAAACGGAAAGACTGAGCGATTCCATAGGTGCATGAACGACATGATTAGGAAACAAATTAGCGAAGATCAAACAAAATGGGATGAAGTTTTACAACCATGTTTAGGCGCCTACAGGGTGAGCAAGAATGAGTCTACTAAATACTCGCCCTACTTTATCATGTATGGTAGAGATCCCGTTCTACCAGTCGACACGCTCCTGCAACCTAGATTACGGTACTTTGGCGAGGACTACGTCCCAGTCATGTTCGAGCATTTGCATAATGCTTACGCACATGTGGTTGAAAACATGCAGGAAGCTAGAGATCGAAACAAAGCTCATATCGCACAAAACGCAACCCCTTCAGACTTTGCACCCGGTGACCTTGTTTACTATTTTGACCCTTCAGTACAACCAGGTGATACTCCTAAATTCACGTTACCATGGAAAAACCATTTTCGAGTAGTTTCAAAATCAGGCCCTGAGAACTACTGCATCAAGAACATGTTAACGGGCAAATCGAAGGTAGTACATTCAGAGAACCTACGTCGGAAGGACGAAACTGACGTTTGGGATAGAGTTTACGATGTAGTGAAACGTCCCCTACAGGTAGGTATCCGTCCGGAAGAGGAGCCTACGCGCCAGCAGCCGCTCCGTGCGGCCAGGTTACCGTTAGGTGATCAACCTTGGTTTGCCTCTATGAGCACACCAAACCCCACAGATGAGTCAAGAGAGGGCACTCCAGATATCCAGGAAGAGGGCAACGGTCCTCACCCTGAGAACCCTTCAGTAGCATTAGGTGACCCCACTGTAATCTCCCCACCGTTACCGGACAGTGGAGAGCTTGGTCAGTTGCCGCCGCTACCACAGAGGCTACATGGATACAACCTCAGGTCTCGAGCTCAAACGAACGAGCCTCTAGAAGGGTATGAGTACGTACGGAGACCTTACGTAAGGAAACGAAATGACAGTTTTGATGAGTGCCCGCCAGACAAAAGGCCTAAGATCCAATCGGGAACTGACTGCCTGGCAGTGATAGCTAGCAGTCCAAATGATGTTGAAGTTCAGCAGCCATTTGCAGAGATGACTCACCATGATCGCAGTGAATCATCAGGTTGGATACCGAAAGCCCTTTTGTTTAAAGTTTATGCATTGAGTATGGCTCTCCTCAGCTCAATGTAATAAACGGTCGTTGTGTTTCAGACCATGGCTGTCACAACGATGCTGAGTCGATGGCTACTGCTGCTCACGGTAACAAACGTGATTGATATTGCTTATTGCGCCGCTCTCCCTACCGATCCCGGACATCTCTTTATACCGCTAGGCAAGACTTACCCAAGCTATAGTTCATGGGCAATCACCCTGTCAATAAGCATGAAACCCTATCGCAAAGATGTCCGTAAAATCAATGATGCTACTAATGAGCTCTCCCGCACTGCAAGAGCGCTGCTCGCTAACCACTCGCCGCCTACTAATGCTACCGCTGCTGACCCCGCTCATGCTTCACTGACTGTATCGCTCAAACATCTGTCTCACTCCATTAGTCAGCTGCAAACAGAGGAGAACCATCTCGTCGACACATTTCGTGACCTACTGTCCATGCCTGAGCCACGAAGCTCTGCACGCTCGGCTAACTCTATCCGTCGGACTGGACGCTCCAAGCGTGTTAAGCGAGGACTCATTGATGGCATTGGAAGCGTAATGTCGTCTTTGTTTGGAACTGCCACTGAAAGTGAAATCAAACATCTGGATCATAACGTACAGCTCATCAATGCCAAAGAGGTTGCTATGGCTCATACTTTTAACGGCACGCTTAACGTCATTAATTCTACTAGAGTTGCCACTACTCAAAATCGTAAAGCTCTCCGTACTCTACAATCAGCGATGAGCTCGATGAGCACATCGCATTTGAAGCTGATCAGAGCTGCCGACAATGCAGAGGCACTCATCACCGTATCGCTCCGCGTAGCCGACCTTGCAGAGAATGTAAGACAAGTTACTAGAAGTCTCAATCATCTTTATACTTCGTTGGTGTCGCTCTCTAGCAAACTCGCTCTAGCTCAAGTAGGAATCCTACACGCTGACCTCATTCATTCACGTGACCTCAACCGTGTCCTTCGTAAGGTGAGCAAAAGTCTCCCGGCACATTTTGCGCTGCCTTTCCCGCCTTCGGCTACTCGCGACTATGTTCGCATTGTCAAAACCAAGCTCATCCCAGTCGATGATGCTTTTCACGTCCTCTTCTACGTTCCACTGCTCCACACGCTCCATGCGTTCGACGTTTATCGCTTCTTCCCTTATCAGGTCCCGCTTCACAGCCATAACATTTCCCTTCTCTATGTTCCCAACGAACCCCGCTATCTGGTTGTATCAGAGAACAGACAGCAATACATCCAGCCTGTCGACTCTGAGATCGAAGCCTGCCTTCTGATCAAGCAACCGTTCTGCCCCCTTCATGAACCTGCTTACTCCACGGCAAATGCGGATTCGTGTGTCGTGGCTCTTTTCCGTCGGGACGAGCAGGCCATCTCTCGTCTCTGTGCTCCAATCGTCCGCCCTACGAACGATGCTCCCAAAGCTCATTACCTTTCCCGAGGCACGTGGCTGATAGTTTCTCGCCCTCCTCTGTCCATCACTATCGTCTGCCCATACAATAGCACCACGCTATCCATTTCATCACCTGTTCGCCTTCTTACCTTGTCCATGGAATGCTCCGCTTCTAGTGACTCTCTATATCTCCCTCCTTACTATGCTAGTGAGACCCACCTCGACTTCCCTGATTTCGATGATACGTTTACAATCTCCAATGACTCTTCCCTGGTCCCAATCTGGCGTTCGCACTGGGCAACTGCTATTCCAACGGCCCTGCAATCTAACGTCTCGTCTATACCAAAGCTTCACGTCGCCGGTATGCCAGCCGATGACTACTTCAATCGTGTCGAAGCCCTTCCCCTTGAACAGGTTATTGATGATACACCATCCGCATTCTCTTATACTTGGCTACTCATTATCATCATCAGCGTTCTCGCCGCTTGCTGCATGTGCTTCTGCATTAAACACTGCTGCCCTCGCTCCATGGCTACCTACCGCTTACCCCGCTTTGTCCCCGCTTCTGCTACTCGAGACCTTCGTGAGCCAGCCATTGAACTCGACGAGCGTCATCCTGTGCTCGGCCCGCCAGCAGCCCCACCGGGCAGCCAGCAGAGCCTGCACATGGACCCTGTAGACGATGCACCGGCATCACTCAGCGCTCAGCCTAGTGCCACAACGGATATGCCGCGACGGGCCACGTACGGCCACCGACCGACGCCGTCTCTGCGGCTGTCGCCAGAGGTGTGAGGCCTCTTTTGTTTCCCCTTCCCCAGTGTGCGTGTGAGTGTTTGCGTATGCATGGCACCAAGCCTGCATCACAATGGACCGAGGAACTATCCGGGTCACTGAACTACTCAGTGCACCGCCCCGAGCGCAGCCGTGCGCTACCAAGTGCAGTGCCTCACGCACCAGCAATCCGGGTCACCAGTTGACTCGACGGCTCACGATCCGGGTCACCGCCTGACTCCGTGGGCTCCGATGACTCACGCCATGGACTACAACCACTGCTTCAGTGCACTGCAGCGAGTGCCCCAGTGCTATTCGTCGCGTTCGTCCGTTGCGTTTCGCGTTCGTCCGTCGCGTTCCCCGCCCTCCCACCCGCTGTGTCGCGTTATCGTCGCGGTTGTTTCGTCGTATGTCTCCCCTGCTGCGTCCTTCGCCCTTCAGGCGTCGGACTCTGCTTTGTCCTAGCCAAAGCTCTTGCCATGGGTGGGGGAGGTGTGTAAAGTGTGTGTCATTGTTGTGTCATTGCTTATCGCCGTTGCCTTGCGTTAATTGCTGCTTATATTTTTATGGGTTTAGGCTTAATTAGTTCGTAGTCTAATTATACCTGCGTGGTGGCTATATTTCATTTTCGCATTTCCAACGCTCATCGTCTTTACCGCTCCCCGCTCGCGCTCAACCGCTCCGCGCTCGCGCTCAGCTCAGCGCAGCCGACGCCGCGGCCGGCCTGGGACGTGTCATACGTTATTCATGAGTGACTCACCGTCTCCAGCACTCTGCGGCCGGCGCCTGGACACTCAGCGGCCGGAGCCGGCGCTCTCTGAACATCTCAGCACGCGCATACCTATCTAGAAACACTTTTAGCCTGCTAAATGTCCGCTAATGGTTTTGACGTGTTCTTGGAACTCTGCTGCGCCGGACACCTTCAGTCACGAGATCGGCGCGTGACACTACGTCATACTTCACTTCTAGACGACTCCAGTACGATCGAGAGACTGTGACGTAGGCGACCAATCACGAGCGTTCGATTTGTGTTTAAAGAATCTTAAGCCAATAGCGAGCCGCCACGCAGGGTTAGAGGGCCACCGCCCTTAGAGTAGGATAGTTCTGCTGAAGTCACCCGATCGGGGGGACTGGCAGAAGACCCCCAGCCTCAGACCACGCCGGACGTGTTTCTGCGTCGGTCTCGACCGACACTGTAGCTGACCACCTCGCTCTGTGTTGTGCTCGACAATACACCTGGACCGGCAGAGCATCTCTTCTGGTAAAGGGCTGACAACAACACCGGCGCGCCCCGCCCTGGGCACGAGAAACCGCCGTGTTACAGCATGACTCCTATTCCACTCCGATGTCGCATTTTCTTGCCCTCACCTGACCTGACGTGACCCAACCTGTCGGCCTTACCGAACAGGCGGAGCGGCTGGCTCATGGCTTCATGGCTCTGGGTCTCGAATTTGGCGACCGGATCGGCATCTGGGGCACCAACGTGTACGAGTGGCAGCTGACGCAGTACGCCGCGGCCAAGGCTGGCCTCGCCTTGGTCAGTACCTTTTCGCCGGTCCCCGTCGCCGTCTCTGGCCACTCACTGGCTCAAGGGTCACTGGTCCCTAGTCCCTTGTTCGATATCCCTGGTCTCTGATTAGCCTCTGAGATCTGACTGAATTGCCCGGACTGCCAGAATTTCGATACGAGAGGGGCCCAAACCATTGCCTGGCCATGGCTGTGAGTGTGGCACAATTTGCTTTCGGCTCAACTTATGGCAGTGGTGTTAACGAAATGCTTATCTTTGTTCAGCGATGGAAGACCATTTTTACCAAATGCATCAGACGAACAGCGTACATTGCCGATTTTGGTGTCCTGAATTTCTCATCACACATCCCTTCCCAACCCAATTCACTAGGTAAACGTGAACCAAGCTTACCAGACCAACGAGCTCGAATACTGTCTGAAGAAGGTCGGCGTCAAGACGCTGGTGGCCACCGACGGCTACAAGACGTCCGACTACTACGACATGCTGACGCGGCTGCTGCCCGAGCTGACGTCAGAGGGGGAGTCGAACGTGCCGCTAACGCTGCGGTCCGAGCGGCTGCCGCAGCTGCGCAGCGTCGTCATGATCAGCCAGCAGCGCAGACGGTGAGACCGACTACCGAGAAAACGAGACTGAGAGACAACTGGGGAGACTGAGACGCAGAATAGTGAACTGACATTCAACAGGGAGACTGAGAGACAGCTGGGGAGAGTGATGAACAACTGGGGAGACTGAGAGGCAGCTGGGGAGACTGAGAGACAGCTGGGAGACTGATAAGGCTAGTATGATACTGGCATATGCCATCTGACAGCATGCGGCCTTCCCTTGACGGTCGCGACCTTTTCAAAGTCCTGTTGCTCTTATAAGAATAAACTTGTATGTAAGCCTTTGTCGAAATTTGGAATCTTGTTCCTCTTCGTTGAGGATCAACCATCTGCCATCTTGACGAACGCTATTTATTTGTAAGTGACACGTCCTTTAGTGTGACTGTGCATTCCGTGTGCTTAAATCGCATTCAGCTTTATGTCTCTACTAAGTTGTAGGCCTATAGGCATTGAGAAATTCCTCCGTGGCCTCACTCTCCTACCCGCCGTTGCTCGTACTACAGTCTGTTCCTACGGTCGCCGGTGGCGCTGTCTGACCCGCCGCTCCCCTCTCCGCCCTCGGGGCCGATCAGGGGCGTGCTGCGCTTCGACGACCTGCTTGACTCCGGCATGGAGTCCTTGTCGGGGGAGCTACAGCGACGCCAGGCGCAGGTCAACTGCGACGACCACTGCAGCATTCAGTTCACATCCGTGAGTGACCTGAGACACGTGGGCATGACTTGACCCGTCGTGAGCTGATTGGACCTGAAATAAACTGGTCTGACCAACGTCCTATGCTGTCTTTCACTCTCAGAGGTTTGGTCTACAAATCAGCCCGACCGCTGAGCGTGTGTGGGCTCTGTTCAGGGCGTGTTTGCTCCGCGCTCACTCTGCTGAAACGCAGTCGGCTTTTCGCCTTCATTTCACTGTGTTTGTCCTCCGCTGGCTGTGTTTGGTGCTCGCCGTCCCAGGATGATTAATATCGCGACCGTAGACCAAAGCACGGATGGAGTCTGCCGATAAAGGGCTTTGGTTCCCCATCAGCCAATGTTGCAGAGTATCCGGCTGCACTGCTCATTTTCACCTGAGCTGAGCGCATAATCCTTTTACGCCTAAAGCTTAAAGTGTAAATCTGCTTTCATCTGGTAAGAAAAACAGTGCTTTTACAGTTCTTTTACAGCGCTTTTAGCTCTATGTAGAATGGAGATGCTCACCTACACTTAAAGTGAGCATCCCACCTTAACATTAGTTTTCAGTTTAGATAGCGTAATTGGGGTCCCTGGCTAATGGCTTGCACTTACCGGTTTGGGCACTCACAACGTCGCGAAAGGCTTTAATTCGGATATATTTAATTTCAAAGTTGCAGCACTTTGGATTCAGACGGGCTAATGCATTTGAATGCCCGCTCTGAATTTGTGACGTCAACGCAGATCCAGCGATTTTAAAATCTTACACTAACATCTTTGTGAAGCAGAGGTGGTATATGCTGTTTGCGCGCAACGTCTGCCGCACCTTTAATATACCAAATTATTGCTTCCAAATGACGTCGTATAGGAACAGCGTAGGCTTCGAAAAATAAACAAAAGTAATTGTCTAATCAGGGATGTAATTTTATATCTCTTTGTGGGGGCAGATGCACCCACAATCCTCAAACATGCCCCAACGATGATGGAAATGCACCCACAAGCCTTCTTTTGAATCTTTTACAAGCGCCCTTTCGAGGGCACGTTGCCCTTCGCAATTTGCATGCTCTAACGGCGTCCTCCTGACCGTCTCGCGTTCCTGGATAATATAACGTTTTTAATCACTCAGCACCCTTCTGGAAGAATTGCGCCCTTTTGACAGCACTGCGCCCGTCTCATGGTCTAACGGCACCCTTCTGAAAGTCTCGCGCCCTTATGTCTCTGTCCACCGTGCATCCCTCGACTGTTCGGCGCCCTTTTGACCTCTCAGCGCCCCTGGACCACATGGCGTTTTCAATCACTCGGCGCCTTTCTAGGAGAATGGCGCCGTTTTTCATGGTCTCACGGCGCCCTCGTAACCGTCTGGCGCCCCTACGTCCCCACCAACTTAGCATTACTGACTTTCGGCGCCCTTCTGACCTCTCTGCGCCCCTGGATCATATAGCATTTTTAATCACCTGGCGCCCTTCTTGGAGAATGACGCCCTCTTGACAGCACTGCGCCCTTCTCATTGTCTGACGGCGCTCTCCTGACCATCTCGCGCTCTTATGTCTGTGCTCACTTTGCAATTTAGAGGTGGCAAAATGTGGACCCGAGGACCCGGTCCAAAGAACCAGTCTGGACCAATATGGGTCCAGACCGGTTCCTGGAAATTTTCTGACGGGTCCAACCGGGTCCTACCATAAGCTATACATCTTGCACACTACACATTATTGCAAAATATGAAGTGAATGAAGTGAATGTTTCTTTGCACACAGATAGCTCATGAGTATTCCCAGTGGGAAATAGGCTGTTTTACATTATGCAACTAATGATACCTACCAGTAGTTTGTATTAATTGACTTTTGGGGAACGGGTCCAACTGGTTCCGATTCCAACTAAGACCGGGTCCGACTGGTTCCAGAAATGTCCAGCCGGGTCTGGTTCGAGTCTGGTTCCCAACATTTTCATCTTTTGCCACCTCTTCTTTGCATCCCTTGACTGTTCGGCGCCCTTCTGGGATCTCTGCGCCCCTGGATCATATAGCATTTTAATCACCTGACGCCCTTCTGGGAGAATGGCGCCCTTGTCCTAGTCTCACGGCACCCTCGTAACCGTCTGGCGCCCCTACGTCCCTTAAGCGGCCTGGCGCCCCTACGGCTGGGCACCCACAATCATTTTGGGGAAATTCACCCCTGTGTCTAATATCTCAAAAACTGGTTAATATTTTGGAATGAAATTTGATAGATATTCATTTTGCTCACTCTGAAGTCTGAGCCATGCGACACCACTTTTATGCCAATTCATTACCTTTTTTGAAGGTGGGAGGGTCCCTTTAACTACATGTGCATTGTGCATAGATCCACTGATACCCACTTATAGTACTTACCTACAATGTCTGATTTGCATGAAATAAGTTGTTTTCAAGACGCATGATTTCTGGATGCATGATGCAGCTTTGCGGGTTGCTGCTTTTGTAGACCCCGTCGTAGCCGTACCTACATTTCGATAATTGGCAGCCGACAAAAATTTGATTTTTTTGCGCGGCAATCTACCTACGCGGTAAATGCGTAGAAGCGAGTGTAGTGTAGGTAGGGTAGAGTGGGGCAAAGCGCCCACCCTAACTTTCCAGCCCCAGTATCTCTTTATCTTACAAATTTGAAAGACAACTAGGTAGCTGATCTGGTAGCTCATTACCTTGGCTTTCTTCGAATAACACATCAGAAACAAGTGGCATGCATGGTTTTTGAGATATGCCATCCGAATTGAGAGGACTACAAATCGGGCGTTTTGCCCCACCCATGGGGCATAACGCCCATATGAGTGGGGCATAACGCCCAGTCCTGAACGTTTCATTACACGCTCGGTACTCTGACAAAAGAATGCAGTATTTATCCATTCTCATTTCGTTTGACTTTAAATCGATAGATTACACCACCAAACACATCTTGAACACTGTTGTTACCACCCCACTCCTCATTCAGTCAACGGGCTGTCACCGCCTTAAAGAGCGGGGATTAGTTCGTGCGAATAAATTGTTCCAGGCGATACTAACTGCAGTATATTGCATATTTCATAGGAATCCTGAGCATTAGAAACGTATCCCGACACTCACTTTCAGCCAAAAATGTTCGCAAATACCCGTACTGTATAACTCCCATTAGGGGTAAAACGCCCATGATGGGCGTTTTGCCCCACACCAAAGTGGGCGTATTACCCCAACAGCACATTCAAAACGAAGTCCACCAAAATTAAGCGTGTGACGATTGTGTTGCAAACCAGTAAATGCTCAAAACGTAGCTTAAATCCGCAGGTTCTGCGTAGCTAAATTTCATTGCCTACTTTAATCTCTGTCAGACAAAGTTTTAGTAGTATGAAAACATGTAATATCTAAAAATTGTCGGAAATAAACTAATCTTTATCTTACGTCCAGAACAACCCACTTGTAGAACCGAAAAAGGGGGCAAAAGTAGATTCCTGCTCGTTCTTGAAAATGGCTATCGAGAATTCTTCGAAAAGTCGAGCACTTCATAAAAAAGAGGGGTGGGCGTTTGACCCGCCCTGGGCGCTTTGCCCCACTCTACCCTACTATTGAAAACAAGGGGTTGATGGCGGGCTCGTGTTCTCTCCTGATCCCTCAACTGCACCAGTGGCTGAGCGGACTCGGGCCATTTTCTAGTAGCCGAGGCTGCATCCGTCCGGCACAGAGCCGGCCTCGAGTGGCTCAAACTCAGAGCGAAGTGGTCAGCCCCTTGACCTTTCCGTTCCCTGATGAGGCTTTTGAGTTTTATTTCGGGCACGGTCTCCAGCTGAATTCCTTGCGCCGACGCGAGAATGTTTCTCGCTCACGTTGGCAGATGGCAGTGCATTGCCATCCTTCACATAAAGTCTGGGTGATTGAAGTTCTAAATTGATTTTTTAACTGCCGCAAGCTCGTCCCAAATTCGGCTCTCTTTTAAGTTCAAAGCTACTCAACACTTTATTCTTGACTTAAACGAAGGCGGATTCTTAATCGAATGTTATACATCCTGTAAACACGATTTGTTTATAACTTTAAACTACTTGTAAGGTTCGAGGCTCGATCAAACTGTCCGAACCGCTGCCGAACATGTACATAATTATAGGTTCTGTCTCCTTTCCTACACTCAATTCGTGAAAGTGTACCTAGCTTACTCTTTTCAGTCCTCTTTGTTATGCGTAAACATATCATGAGATCGCTGTTATCATTCATCCGTGATCACTGCGGTCACCCAGTGCGAGGGAGGTGGCGTCGATCTACCTCGTGTGGTCGAAAGATGCAGAATATAATTCTTTTCTGCATGCGCGTACGCAGACAGGGTCACTTGCCGAAAAAGTGTGGAATTGTCATGCCCTCAGGGCACCACCGGCCTGCCGAAGGGCGCCACCCTGTCGCACCACAACGTGGTCAACAACACGCAGCAGGTGGCGGCGCGGCTGGGCTGCGACGTCGGCGGCGCGCGCATCTGCATGTCCGTGCCGCTCTACCACTGCTTCGGCTGCGTCATCGGCTCGGTGCTGGCGCCCCTGCACGGAAACGCCATGGTCTTCCCGTCGCAGACCTTCGACGCCGAGGCCTCGCTCAAGGCCACCGAAGACGAACGGTGAGTGTTGGGGCTCTTCGGGATTCGACGCACCGTGACTCGGGGATCGTAAGTCCTTGAGTTGTTAGGAGTTTTGACGTGTGTAGTTATACCGGCTGTATTTTGTTTAACTTAATGGGCAGCTAATCCTTCATGAATATAAATTATGTGACAAGTAATTGGATGGAAACATTAGCGAACGATTATGCGGAAGGTGCAAGTCGAGTGTCGTCGTCGTCGAGTATGCCGATGGTATCCGTGTCGAAGGTGCTCGAGAAAGGATAGTTGTTGACACAAGGCTGTAAACCAGCCACTTTCCCGTCGTTTCTACCTTATGCTACACATCCCAACTTTACCCCTTTCCGGGCCATCACCCCTCTGACCGTGTGTGATGTGTCCGTCCTCGCCTGCAGATGTACGCACCTGTACGGCACCCCCACCATGTTCGTCGACATGGTCAACATCGCCAAGCAGAAGCGGCACGACCTCAGCTCGGTACACTCGGGCGTCGTCGCCGGAGCGCCGGTGCCCTTCCACCTGATGCAGGCCATGATCAACGACCTCAACATGCGGGACGCGGTGGTGAGTAGACAATAGCCGTTTTCACGGCGGGCTATCCGGCGAATGCACCTAATTTGACCAAATCTGCACCTAATCTCTTTTACAGCAAATATATTCATGTTATGAATTAATTTCAGTGTTTTAAGCGATGATGCTCTCTGATAATATGACAAAGCAGGCCTATAAACAATTAGAGCAGCCCTAGCTGAGAGCTACTGAGAGACACACTGAACCTGATTTGACCAAATCTGCACCCAATCTGCACCAGATGTGCACCAAACGTGTACCAGATGGCGGTCGTGAAAACGGCTATTATCCTGCCACCGTGCTCAGTGAGATGCCCTGGTTTGTGTGCAAATAATTGGAATGTCTGGCCATGTGTCAGACCGTTGACTTGAGTCTGATATGTGCGTGATAGTCTGTGTGACCAATCATGAGCTGAGCTGGCTCTACATTGATGCAAGCTTGAGAAGCGAACAGTTTACCGTTGGAGCTAAAAAACGGCGTTCTGGCGCGAGATGGTGGGCCCAAGGACGTTCCGTTGAATCCCTGCTGGCTGTGAGTTTTGTGTGTCTGGTTGGCCGACTGATGGATGGCCGATTGGATTTGGCTGTGGGCTGGGCCGCTGGCACTCAGAGGATCAATTGGAAATGCAAGACGACTGCAAACTCAAATAATCTAAATGGAGTTCGAATCCAAACCTGCGGAGACGGACTGAAGCACCGAAATCGTTCGTTGATTGTGGTTTGTAAAACTGAAAGCCGCTACGCCGGCTGCGTAATCTGTACGCTTTGCGTTCCGTTCGACGTTCTAAGGTCTCTGTTTAGCTCGTAAGTTGAACTGTCCATACGGAAAATGTTCACATTATAGAATAAAACACTTGTCTTCATCAGAGAAAAACAGCAAACTTACACAAGTTTATTCAGTCGTTGCAAGTTTCTGCAATAAAGTAGGTATTTCCCGACAGTATGCAGATAGCTTGACGCTATGATCGACCTTATGATGACGACTCTGTGACTATATCGACATAAAACGTTAAAACTTCTTGCTGGTTAGCGTCTAGCGGCCTCTTATGTACGTGTTTATATAAAACATCAATGCGTTAATGTTTACTAACCAACGGAGCAACCAGGGGCGGCGCCACGGGTTTTCGATAGGGGGGGGGGGGACGGGGACTGTAGCTGTCCGAAAATCCCAAAAGTAGATACTTATCGTGTATGCAAAAAAAAAAAAAACGAGACACGTAACGCCGCGAAACTTGGCAAAGCCCAAAACACATCGAATGGTGCATCCCGTTTCCAAACTTATCCTAGGACACCTAAGATCGATCACCTTTTCAAGCATCCTTGCCTCTAAATCAAAATTTGCAGTCTTGCCAACTCAAAGCTGGTTTCCTACAAGCTGCGAATTGCTTAGGGATACTGGCCGCGTGGCCGAGTGGATTAGGTGTCCGGCTGGAAATCCGGAGGCGGGAAGTTCGCGACCGGTCGGTCAGTGTCGAGTAGCAGTGCCAACTATTCTTACGTTTCGTACTTTCAAATTTTCGATCTTACGTCTGGTCAGCTTCATGGCTTCACCATCATACGTCTATAGTCATGGAGGAAAAGTGGGAATGTCTTCTGCTCTGACAAGTGCGCCAAAACTGCAATATAATTTCAGAATCATGACATCACCACCTGATCCATATGCAACGGGCAGGGTGCAGCTAATGGCTAGCCGTCAGTGGTCATGTCATTGGTGGTCACTCAAAAGGTCATGCTAGGTCATGGAAGGTCACCAGCCGTTATTTGATCACACTTTCTGATGGATTTTACTTACCAAGAGCTTCGCGAGAAAAACGAGCGCATGCCGCATGCACCGTTGAAAAAAAAAATGAGTGAAAGGGTCTCAGGTCCGGCGGCCTCTGCAGGTGAAATGCCCCAGGGTAGGATTCCGGTCCTTGTTGATTAACTTCGTCAAAAATGGCAGTAGAGCTGTGATGTCGGCACCATTGTGTTCGTCATGATCGAGCTGGCACGACCTGCATCGTTCTCATATTCACCCTCCAATCGTAACAACACAGCATGGGGATTGGCAAATGGCGGGGCACCCCCTTTGGGAGGTAATGAAGGTCTCTGGAAACCTCATCCCTCATCTCTTTAGCATTAGTGGCTCTCCTTATGGAACAGGTTTCTTGACTGGTCTGTTTCACCCCAGAATTCAAAGACTAGTCAAGGTAAAACCGAGCGCACCACAGTGAGCACAATTTGATAAGCTGGTGTATCTCAGTTTCCATGTAGAACCTTTCACGTATCACGTAGGTACCTAAAACACTTTCGTGCACTCATGCAAAAGCAACTGCCATGTTTCAACAGCTGGTAATGGCATTTTCACAGCAGCTGACGTAAGAAGGGGAGGGGGGGGGGCTCGATTAGACCCCCAGCCGTTCGGCCGCCGACCGAACTTAGTTTTGCAGAAAAAAAAAACGAGTGCTATCGAACCCCTTGACGAGAGGGAGCCGATGCTACCCAATTATAAGGTCTTGGGCTACTGCGTGCTTTTTTGGTCCTGCCTGTGATCTATCCGAACACTTCTCCCCACAAGTGCTGGGGTTAAATGGCATAGATTTCAAATGGTTCCTGTGGTAGAACTGCCATGCTTGAATTTGACTAATTAGGAATGGAAAATATCCATATAGTAACGGAAATCTATGGAATTTAAGTTAACTTGGTTTTGTCGGCAATGGGGTCTGGCAGTGGGGTGGGGAGGTAATAACCCTGCCTGGCGCCCCAAAAAGGGGGGGGGGCACGATCCCCAAGGCCCTGCCGATCACCTTATAGGCATCACAGCTCCATACCTTTTGCAGATGGCCAGGACCCCCTGCGATACATCCCAACAGCAATCTTTATTCAGAACCTGCCTTGATTAACCAACGATGCATTAAATGCGACGGATAACTTTACAATGCATTATTATCAACTATTGAACGGGCCTCGCCGATAGGGGGGTACTGTACCCCCCTAACTTTCGATAGCGGGGGACCTGTCCCCCCCGTCCCCCCCGGTGGCGCCGCCCATGGGAGCAACCGCATCAAACTTGCTCTTTTCATCACAAATAATGCTGAGTAATACGAATAAAAGCAGCATCGAAGGTAACAATCAAAGGTTCTTATTTGAAGTTCACCAAGCGTGCTGAATGAAACTGAATTGGCAAGCAAACTTCTCCTTAAAGCATTCTGAACACAGCCCCCGGCCACTCTGTTGAAGCCGACTCACAATTGCTTCAGATCCCGACCCGAGGGCTTTGTTTGATGTCTCTTTGATGTTGCTTGCGCCTTGTTGGTGAGTGCGATTGGACTCGTATGTGGCCCCGTGATGCCCAGCGCGATAGACTGCTGCAGAATGCAGGAAGCAATCGGGCGGAGTCGGCGGTGGAGCCGGCAAAATAACGTCTCAGCGACGGTGGCACGCTAGCTGCTGATGACCCAGGAAAGCTGCTGATACTCCGCGGCGTGCTGGTGGTTTTACTCAAGGAGGTCCATCTCCCTCCATACCCTCCATTTGAGCATTTCCAAAGCTTTGGCTTTCAGACCAGTCACGGCGTTGATTTTTTTTAGCAAGCGCCAAGCCGGATATCTATTTTTGCATGCGACTAGCGGTCCTCCGGTCGGAATGGGGCTGTGAATTTGTGCGACCATTCCGCTCCACTGGCGAAGTGTCCGTTGCAATAGCCGTTCCTCAGCAGATCGCTGCGATGCCGCGTGCCGAGACTAGCAATCGCGACCTCCCGAAACGCGGAAGACGCGTGCAATGGTCCACACAGCTGGTATATTGGATCTCCGAGAGCCAGGCGCTGGATGGGATCTCCGTGGCCACGATGGAAGATTGTGGCTTTGTTGTGGGCTTGCTCGGGCGTTTCTCTCTCGAACGATTAGTACCGGATCTAAACATGACTGAATCTTGGCGGCGTGTAGTCTCTTCCGCCGCTCTGAACCGGCCTGGTGCGGGCGGTGCTGCACCCACCCTGAGTCGTTTGTTTGTCCGTCTCCGCTTCTGCCAACTCCCGGCATTTCACGCACGGCAGAGCGAGTTTGTGGCCCGGTCTTTACGGGCGAGACGCCGGGTCGGCGCCAGGCTGCTCTTCTCCCTTCCATCTCCAACCGCTCTCACCGCGCCGTCCCGGCCCACCGTTTCACGGCACGCACTGCAAGCTCTGTATCGACCGCATCCGAGGGACGGGTCGCGCTCGCGTGATCAGCGCTATTAGAGAGGAGCCGGCGGTGGGGCGGGGGCGGGGAGACGGGTCTCGGCCGCCTCTGCTCCGCGGGAGAGCTGCACAAAACGCCGGCCGACCGGACAGTAGCTGTGGCGACTTGACTGCTTTGATAACAAAGTGTGCTTACTGGTTATGCATTATGTGCTCTGTAAAGATGCAATATAGATGATTGATGGTCTCAGAGTTTAATCCGCGGCATAATGAAAGTGTGACCCGTGAACGGGGCACGATGCATATTGTAGCAGTCTTGTTTTGTGGGGATTATGCAGTCCTTTGCAGAACCCAAACTAGGCTGGGCCGATGAATGGGTGGCGATTGTCCGTAGCTTTGTTCCTTTGACTTTGTTCGTTTGTGACAGTTCTGATCTGTCATCAGTTTGAGTGGCAATTTATCGACTATATGCATTATCGTTAGTCCGGCATCGAGCGCGGGCGGTGGGCCGCTGCTTTCCGAGCTCGGCAGCCTCCAAACGAGATCTCGTATTCAACCAAGCACTGTTTTCTTCAAACGCAATCATCTGGAAACGAACGCTGAGTGCCAGCCGCTAAGGCCTGCAAGTAAGTTCACGCTTGCGTGGACATCATAAATCGGATATGGGCCGCGGCTGAGAGCCCCGGAGGACGCGCCGGTCGGCACCAGTCGCGCGACTTCTCACGCTCCAGCTGCAGTCACGAGGTGGGCTCGGAGCTGAGGTATAATTGCAACTGCACTATCACTTCGCATGAGTCGTGACATTGAGCAGCTGCCGCCGTCAGATGCCAGTGTTTTGGACTCGAACAAAGCACAATAGATAAGTACAGTAGGCGCTTACGAAAGTGTGTCTCAAAGAAACACGCTCACTCCTCGCCTTTTCGGCCGGACTAGCGCTGCCACCTCGTCTTTTCGGCCGGACTTAGCGCTGCCAATGCCGTCCGGACGCGCTTGGCTTCCCAGAAACAACGCAGGCATGGCGAGGTCCAATGTCCAGTGATTGACGTACCGCTCCCGAGGTCTTTCAGAACAGGTCAATTGATCGTTAGGATATCTGCAGAGTCTGCCGAAAATAGATCAGTCAAATGATTGCTGTTATTTGTCGTGATATTTAACACACAGCATGACAAAATGTCATGTCTTGAGGGATTTAACTATTATGCTTTTCCCTTGTGCGCAATATTTTCAAATCACAAGAGCGACTTAGTCGTCTTTTCACGAATGGTTCGTATCATGACACAGTCACACCTTTCACCGAAAGCAAACATGACGTAGAGATCAAAGAAGACCAATGTAGTTAAGCTTTGAATTGTAACGGTTAAATAAGTCGAATTAAATTATGAGTTATGTTTTATGTTAATAAGTTGAATAAGTTACTCGACTTATGCGTAAAAATATGCAAGTTTTTTACAATTACTAAGACATCATTTAATAATGTTCGGACATAACTTGCCTAGCTAAAAACGTTACCAAAGCATAGTTATAGCAAATGTTAAATGTCCGCAAGAGCTGACACATTTTTCATGTGTCCGCTTAGTTTAGGGTCGAGCCGAGGCGTCGCACTTCCGTTCCTTCGAATCACATCTGGGAGCGGGTCATTTATCATGTGGGCTGACGGTGGAAATGCGGCAGCAACAGGCGGTCGTTTGCCGCGGGGCCGCCCCGTGTAAAACGGGTCCGGTCCGCCGCCGTCGCGCCGCCCGCCGCTCGTCACGAAATCAATGTCTGGCCGCTCTGCAGCAGACATTTGCGACATGTGACACAAATAACACTGCCAAATATTGCCCCCGCGGGCACAGGCCGAGCGCAAAGCTGTCAGCTTTCCGAGCTCCGGGCCGGGGCGGCGTGTCAGCCTCTGCGGCCAGTGACGCGGACCCGGCAGGGTTTACTCTGGAGAGACGCGGCGCGGCGCCGAAACAATTTCTGCCGCCGCCGCCGCCGCGGTGCTCGGCGACTTAATAGGAACGTCAGTTCAGACGACACTTTGATAACTCACGCGTGTCCGGCGTTCTGAGTCGGCCCGTCGCTTTGTGAGGCCGGTGTTGTGACGCCGCCGCAGCTGGAGCTGTGCTTTGGAGAAGAAGTTTCCGGACCGGGGACGAGCTTCTGACCTCGAGACGCAGCAACAATGCATCTCGGCACCTCGAGAGAATAATAACCATTGTAGCTAGGTTTAAGAGCCAATTTACGTTTAGCTTTGAGACCAGTGTAAATATACAAAAGCTGTGTAGATCACCGGTTTAATACCAGGTAAAAGTCCAATAGAAATGCTTATGTTTGGAAATGCTTATGTAAAAATGCTCGCAACTCAATATGAGCATTGAGCAATGTACAAATGCAAAATTACATCCTGCAAAACAGAGTTTTCGTATTTTTATTAACTTCATGCATTGTTTAATGCATTAAAATGCTTGTTTGGCAGCTACCAATCAGTTTACGTCGCAATGCTTGTTCCATAATGAGCCAACAATGATTTTGTCATATAAAGTGAAGGTCGGTCTACTATATGTGGAGGCGACTCACATTAATGCCAGTGGTAGTTGGTACCAATCGCTATATTAATTTTGTTATCTATGTAACATGTGGCGCAGCTCGTACCATAAAGCAGCATGCGCCGATAGAAGCATAAGTGCTCAGACCGGACAATAAGTGTCACGATATGAGTGGATAAAAGCGATATGGGCTGATTGATATGGCCCCTTTGAAGTGCAGCTTCCTTTTACATCTATCATAAATTGCATGGGGCGGGAGCTCTTCTAGTACCGCTCCTGCCCCGTCAGCGACCCCCCGGAGTTGTACCCCTTTGTACAGAGCAGTGTACCCGATCCCCCCGTTCGCAGGTGGGGTATGGTCTGACGGAGTGCAGCCCGCTGCTGACGCTGGGGTTTCCGTCGGACGACCTGGAGCACCGCTGCGGCACCGTCGGCTACCCGCTGGCGCACACCGAGCTGAAGGTGGTGGACGGCCAGGGTCTGACGGCGCCCGTCGGCCAGCCGGGGGTGCTCTGCGCGCGCGGCTACTGCAACTTCCTCGGCTACTGGGACGACGCCGAGAAGACGGCGGAGACGCTGACTCCGCAGCGATGGCTCATCACCGGGTGAGTCGCGGGTCTGGGGAGCTGGATGGGTTTCTCCCGGTGAGGCGTGAGCTGAGATGGCGGGATTTTGCTGCCTGTCTAGAAGGGCTGAGCACTGAGCGGGGTTGGTGAGGATGGTCGTAGTGATGCTGTTTATGAATGCTGGTGATGATGACCCTGTGGACTGTGGAGTCGATGATGAGGTAAGTACATAGTAGCCTATCGCCGACTGCAGGTTGTGATGAAGTGATTATTGAATTGAATCATTGATGCTTATGGTGCTGGTGCTGGTGGTCCACAAAGGCCCAATGAAGAAACATGCTGCGCCGAATAACATAATGAATTATCACGGTCACTAAATGTCTGGCGGCTGAAAGGAAGCCTGGACCAAAGAGTGATGACACATAAAAGCCGAGAAGCTGCCTGCGTTCTAAATGATTTTCTGAATGAAAAACGTTCGCCAGTTGTCATTATCTTAATGGGATCCGGGTCTCCATTAATCCCCAGTGCTACATCAACAGACATAGAAACGGCGGCATCTCGGGATAGGGCGACTGTGCGTTGAACAAAAACCTGGTCTGGTAACCGGTTTGAACACGGCATTTTGTTCAGCAGCTATACTGATACTCGTAGTTGATTATTTTTGCTTTGAAGTCGCATATTGTTCTATTTATGGAATCTTCAGCAGATACTTTATTTTGACTTATATTTGAAACTATGCCCTCATGTCTCTATTCATCACGCTTCAGAGGAAAACTTTCTTCGCTCGGTTTCGATTTATTCGTCGACTCCATCGAGCACAATTGTATTGTTCCATAAAGTATCGATAGCGGTATTTGGATTTTATGTGGCACGTCCGAGAGCCCACATGGCACATAGTTCAGAACTTGGTTGCGAGGACCAATATCGCTCGGCGGTGAAGAGTTGGTGCCTTTCTGTTGTGTTTTGCCGGTGCAGTGGCGGCCGCGGTCGCTCGGTCGCAGCCCGACCGGCCAGTTTTGTCGGTCGGACCTTGGTCTAGGTCAGCGAGTCTTGCCTGCTATAGTCGCTCTCCTGGCCGGCAACTTTTGCCGCAGCCGGGTTCGGTGGGTTTCGCCGGTCGGTCCGACCCAGGCCGGTGTATTTCGCAGGTCGGCCTGGTCCATGCTGGAGTATCTCGCCGGTTGGTCCGGTCCGTGCTGGTGTATTTCGCCGATCGGTCCGTCCCAGGCCGGTGTATTTCGCTGCTCGGTCCGGTGTATTTCGCCGGTCGGGCCGGTGTATTTCGCTGCTCGGTCCGGTGTATTTCGCCGGTCGGGCTGGTGTATTTCGCTGCTCGGTCCGGTGTATTTCGCCGGTCGGGCTGGTGTATTTCGCTGCTCAGTCCGGTGTATTTCGCTGGTCGGGCCGGTGTATTTCGCCGGTCGGGCTGGTGTATTTCGCCGGTCGGTAGGGTGTAGTTCGCCGGTCGGGCTGGTGTATTTCGCTGCTCGGTCCGGTGTATTTCGCCGGTCGGGCTGGTGTATTTCGCCGGTCGGTAGGGTGTAGTTCGCCGGTCGGACTGGTGTATTTCGCCGCTCGCTCCGACTCAGACTGGTGTATTTCGCCGCTCGGCCCCACCTAGGCCGGTGTATTTCGCCGGTCGGTAGGGTGTATTTCGCCGGCCGGTCCGACCCAGGCTGGTGGTTTTTGCCGGCTGCTGATGGCCTGCCTCTGTGAGTGTCCGCTCTGGTCGGCGACAGCTGCAGCCACAGTCGCCGTTTTTGTGCCGCGCATCAGCCCGCAGTCGAGTAATCGGACCCACAGCGGATGCATTAGACCCACTGGAGACACAGTTGATCCTACAGTGGAGCGATATTGATCAACGGTGGCACATATGGGCGAGACAGCCAATAGTAACACAGGAGATACGGAACTGCACCGAACACGCCAGGCCGCACGGCGCACACCCAAAACGGATTAGTGCCTCTCACACGCGCCTGCCCTTCGCTGCCAGTTTCCAACTCCCGCCGGCCCATCGTTCGCCCGTCGCCGCCCCTCCAGCGCGGTCCCATCACCGCCCAACTCATCTCCGACCCGCGCCCGCGCTCTTACCTGTATCGACCACCTTCCTTACAAAAACTCCCACCGGCAGATAATCCGATGACGCTGAAAGTGGCAGGTGGCACGTGCCGATAGATAGCGGGTAGCCTGCAGAAAGATGCCGGAGTCGGCTGCAGAATGAGCTCTCACTCGGCGCGATGGTGGAAACTAATCCGGCACTCGACCGCTGATGGCTAAATAACGACCCAACTTGCGTGCCCCGGGAGCCGTAAAAACAGTGAAACGGCGATGGTGGGAGAAAATAGCGTCGGGTGACGTTAGTGGGTAACAGAGCAGTTAATGAAAACAAATACCTGTGCTAGCTAATAATTCTACACCGACTATCACGACAACTTTTCGTGGCAGTAATCGAGAAGCTGAATCATGGGTACCTGACATCGTTCTTCCAAATCCACTCCAATAAGCTCGAATAAGTTAGAATGCTTTGAACTTTTAGAGTTATGAATTGAGCAATGCTTTTTTGCTGTTTTGATGTTTCATCGTTTGTTTCTCGTTGATGTCTGCTGTTGGCTTGTTGTTTTTCTATTTTGGTTACATCACCATGAATGTGACCGCAAGGCTGACTGCTGTGCTGACACATACGTTACATGTGAGGAGATTTGTTGTAAATTGTTGGGCTTCTGTTCTTTGAGGTGACTGCCCTGTCCACGAATCACTACGTTTACCTTCGTTGGTTTGCACTTTGCATTCATTACACGTGCAATGTAATGGTCTATCAGGGATGTGGTCTCAGATAATTTCTTCGTCCTTATCATTCCATCCCATGCTTCCATTCTTTAGGCTATACAGGTACAAGGTACGACGGGCAATGTCATGCCTACTATATTATAGAAAAGCATTTTTTATTACTGCAGTGGTATTTTCTATTTTGTTAAACTAAGTGAAACGGACGTTTCTTATGAAGATTATTCTAACAGCATACGTGTAATAACCTTTACCTCAGTGTCGCCCGAAGGAAAAGGAAAATAATCATTTGACCAATGGAACATGACAATCACGCCTGGACAGTAGTGCATTATATTTGCTGTAAAGTAATGTGTGCTGTGTACGTGAAAATATACGCTAGACGGGACCTGCTTATTGAAGTAGGTGTGCTCATTTTTTTGTTTCAAATACATCAACCACCGTCGTCACAGCCTTCTGCCAGCGCCTATAGTTGCATACTAAAAGTGTGTTTACGGCCGGTCGGTATCCGCCTAAGTTGTTATGATGATGAAGAGCTGACATCGCATTAGGCTGGCGCATTAGGATGGCGCTTCGCTGTATTACCATACGAAAGGAGTTTTTATGGTGATGTATGCGTGAGCCGTGAGGCCTTTTATACCATGTACGTGATATGATTGCGTGTCTCCTGACAAAGAATCGTTCCTCTTTGGAGCATCTAACAGGAATTCTCGTCATCGTTCCTTCAAGTCCTCATCTTTTGGAAGGAGACAAGCGTAGTGATGCCCTGGAATTCACATATCTTGGCAGATGGCAATGGCGAGCTCTCCTTTGTTCCCTCGATCCCGTCGGGTTGCGTGACCTATAGCGTCGTATATGGCGTCTCAATCTGTATAGGGCCGCTTTAACCCTCGCACGACCAGGCCATTTCTCATAACACGAACGACCAGGGGGGGGGGGGTTGTTACGACCCCCCCCCCTGGCGTTTCGAAACGGAAGGTCGTAGAGCTTAGCGGAAAAAACCAACGGATTGCTCTCAACGAGATCTCGCGATTGGTGGTATATTTTTTGGTCCTAGGTCAACATTTGACCTACTTTTGACCGGTCAAAGGTCAAATTTTCGGAAAAAATAGACTTTTTCAACTTTAGGCGGCGATTGCGGCAAAACGGTGGGAGATATCGACTTGAAACCTTCACTATCGTGTTCCTTGATCAATTCTCTATCGTTTGGTATGTATTTCGTTTCCCTAGCTCTAAAAATGGCGCGTTGGGAGCGCCGGAAGTCGGCAAGGTCACAGTCGGCGGCAGAAATTCGAAAAATCAAAATTCAAATTTTTGAAATCTGATTGTATTTTTGGATTTGGGAGGTCCATTTGCTCCCTATAGAAGCTAATATTGCTGCATATTCCCATTGAGGTGACAAGAATTAGCAAAATAGTGGTTCGGGCGCTTTTCAAAAATAGTACCGGACGCTGTTCCTCTTGTGACGTCATAGCTCCGTGACCTGACCTGACCCGGTCAAATTTCTTATACCATATGATAGCCAATACTTGCCCCAACATGCATGGGAAGTTTCATCACGATCCATCGACCGATGTCCGTACCACCGGCAGGAAACCTCGGGCGTTGGCACTCAGTTTGTGAAAATCCGGCCGGAGGCTGTACCTCTTATGACGTCATAACTCCGTGACCTGACATGACCCGATCAATTTTTTTCGGCAAAAGATGCGCAAAGGTTGCCCCAGAGGGTATTGAAAATTTCAGCCCGCTACGACAAGCCGTTTAGCGTGCACTTCGAAAAAACCTCAGGGGGGGGGGGTTGATACAACCCCCCCCCTAGGCGTTCTAGGGTTAATTCTATTTCATTTACGAACATATTCAAGGTCGTTAAAGAATGATGATTGTTGTTGTTAAACGTTTCGGTGAACAACAAAAACGACCGACATATTTTACCGAATGAGCCAGAAAACCTATTCTTATTTTAACCCGGCAGTTCCTGGGGTATTTCGCCACCCACGGTTTGCTCGGGGGGGGGGCGTTAAACGCCCCCAGCCGATAACTCGAGAACCAATAGGCGCAGCGAAACGCACGAGGCGGCAAATGAAAGAGCGCGACGAGATGCTTCAGATGAGTACTTTAAAGTTGAATTTTGAGGTCACAGGTCGGGTCAAGGTCAGGTCAAACACCTGAAATCGGGCTTTCAGTAGCATGGACTTAAGGACTTCGCAATGGGCGCCTCTCGTCATAAACTCTGTCAAAACGGTGCACAATCCATC